AACTAGTTATTAAAGCCTGGCTAAAGTTCCTTTAACTAGTCAACTAGTCGCAGTGCCACAAGAGAAACTCCTAATTTTTGAATAACATCTTTAAAATATTAACAGAAGGCCTCAAGGCAGTACAGCGAGTTAACGACAACCTCATTAGGTGTTGGTATTGAGAGTTATATGAAAAAAAAGGTAGTTGAAGTATCAGGAGGGGTCAAATATAACCCAGTTTTAATTCTCTACCAAAGCAAGCTGGGGGTCTCCGGACATGCGCACATTGTACGTGGCGCGAAAGGTGAAAAGACATGGTTGACCCTGTCATGCCCGTTGTGAGTGTTGACGATGTCGTCAAAAATGGTATCATTCTGACTTCTTTTGAGAGTATAATACAGTTGATTTTGAAAAGCAAGAACAGTGAATTTTGTTGCAATTCTAACTGATCCATGCAAAACAGTCATGGCATGTTTTCTTTTAGGATATGATTGTTCGTGTGCATGAACAGCAACAGCAACCGTATCCATGCATAATGTAGCTCTCACTCCCGATCCATCTAAGGATGGATCGGGAGGATGGATCTAAGGATAGATCGGGAGTGAGAGTCCGTGCCACACTAGTAGGGCTAATCCATGTAAGGACAGAAATTATGCACCAACCAACCACTGAACACAATGAAAACAGACCATCTGACCATGCTGACAGTCTGTCACAAACAGTCATGACTGTCACTAGTGTCAGTGACTCAGCAGTCACACTGGGTGGGGCATGGTCCATATTCATGTTCATGACCATGACGACTCTGGCATAACATGAATACATGCATAATGCATGACCTTCATGATTTATTTATGACAGCATCACATCTGTCATGTATGGTGTTCAGACTTCTGTTGACAATGAAATTGCATTGTCGTGGTTGTGTTGTCCAGTAGTCCCTGTCGTGTTGTGCTGTCAGGTTGCGCTGTCGCCTATTCCTAGGTCTTATTGTAAATTTATGGAGATGCCCTGCTACTGCGTTGTGCCATCATGTCGTGCCGCCGTATTGTTGCATCGTGCCGTTGCGTCATGCCATTGTGTCATGCTGTAATGCGGTCATGTCGTTCCATCACGTCGTATCATCTTGTGCCGTTGCATGATGATTCCGACCCTTTGTGTCGTGCTGTCAACCCGTTGTCATGCCTTCGACTCATCGCATCTTACTTTTTAACCCTAACCCTACATAATACTACAGATTACTACTTGTAGTGAAATGTAGTAATCAGCGCTTTGGCTTGTAAGAGGATATGACCGTATTGTTCTCTGAAGCCATAAAATACAATAGATAAGACAATGTACATGTACCATACAGTGCTCTGGCACTATGAATGCATGGCTGTATTGTTCTCTGTACGAGTGACAATGGAAGTAACCTAGCCAGAAGTAGTAATCTGTAGCGCTAGGTCCTTCAGGCTCAGGCTGTTACTTAGTATTTTGTAGTAGTAAGTACTGTAAGCCAAACAATATGGTTGGCGGTTAAGGTTAACCGTTGTGTCGTGCCATTGCATCTTGCTGTCACATCGTGCTCTCGCCATCGCTCGTCAAATGATCACATCTTGAAGGCCCTATGCACCATGTACGCGCACACAATTTTTTCCGTGACTTGTTACACATGCCTTCTATTAGCTGTGATAAATACTAGCCCTTTTAAGAAACAGTAAGGCACAATGGCAAGATACAATGTTAGAGCATGACAACATGGTACAAAGACACAACACAGTGGCACGACATCACGATGCGACAGCATGATCGCAGGACACGACAGCCTAACCCACAATGTGTAAAAATCATACAGTAACAGGCAGCATGACCCAATGCTACAGTGGCAAGATGCAATGTCATGATGTCACGATACGATGGCAAGATGTGCCAGCATAATGTGACGGCATCAAGAAACAACACGAGCCAGCACGTTGCGATGGCACTCTGGCACGATCAACGATGGCACAACTCAGCACATTAAACACAGCATAAAAATAAGAAAAAAAGAAGCAGTACAACAGTGTGACAGCATGATACAATGAAGCTGTCATAGTGCCGTGTTGGGGCAACGGCACAACACGACACAATTTTGTCATTTATAAGACACCATACCCATGTGAGCTGAGGAAGGAAAAACAGCCAGACAAAACTGATGTGATGAATGATGTGAACAGGACTAGCAAAAGAAAGAATTCCATATAAGCCTACAGACGCCACTGATTTGTCCCTTCAGTTACCTATTAGCCATCTGAATGCAACAACAATTAAGAAGAACTTATTAAGGCTGAAAATTTAGCAGGGAAAATGTTGAGGTTTTCACATAGAAAACACTCAGAATTTTCAGACCAGTCTCATACTAGTCACAGGTCCTATGACTAGTTTGAGTCTGGTCTGGTTTGTGTGCAGGGCGTCAAGTGGCTTCCGTGTATGGAACTCTTCCCCGGAAAAAGCCTAGTAAAAGAACATAATTATATGATTAGACTATCAAATGCCAGTAGGCCCAAGCATTAACCTGGCAAGCGTGATTGATTGCTGTTCTGTGGCTGTTGGCCAGTGTGTCGAAAATCACACTTTTTTAAGGTCTATCTACTTCATGACCAGATGACTTCCCCTTTTCAAAACAGTAAAATCCACTGTTTGTCGAGCTGTCATGTCTGTCCATCATGACCTGATGACCATGAAAAAGAAAGAAATGGGTATCTGCTAAAGGCAAATGATCAACAGATTGTGTTGCAAAATCAATCAATCATGTCAACCAAACAATTGTGATGATCAACCAACTGCTGATATATGTGTTAAACATTAGAGAGCAGAGATTTTGAAATAATTGTCATCTCTTCTTCATGTTAACATGTAGTTTATCTTGTAAGTCAGACATGTCAGATCATGGAACTATTGTACTAGAATGCTGATACTGAACATCCTGAATTGAGCAAGAGAATGTTGAATAAAATGATGCCATCTTTTCAGGAATTTATAAGGATAAGGATGAGCAATGGCAGCGGAACGGTTTTCAAAGGGGGGGACACTTGTGAGACCATCAGGCATCACAGTTAATAGGTTGATCATTTAGGCTCCACCCTGTTATTTGACCTACAAAAAGTAGGGGCCATGCCCCCAGTCAAAAAGTGGGGGGGTCCACTGTCCCTCCCCCCTCCTTCTACCTCCAGTGATAATGAGTAATTGATTAGTTAAAATGTACCAATCAATGAATGTGCGTTTTTCTGCTTCCAAGGACATTCGCAGCTTTTTTGGAGTGACAACAGCAAAGTCTAAATCCAGCCAGAATGGCAAGTCATCAAGCAACAGACAGCCTAACAGTACCGGAGGAAAGCGAAAGAGACAGCTGGAAGATGAAGATGATGATTTCACAGATTCAAGGAGGAGCAGAAAAAGGACTGGCAGCAAACCAGCTAAAATGAAAAAGTCAGCGATTATTTATGACTCAGGTTGGTGATCTTTGTGAGCTAAGTCTACAAACAAAATCCCAAAGAGCAAATAAAATCCTGGAAACATTTCACAGAAAGAGTCAAATTATTTATCATTTTCCCTTGTCCCACAGAATCTGATGAAGAACCGAGATCCTCCAAAGGAAAAGGTAACTTTTATTCTCTCTGATTTTTGCATCCCACTTGTGCATTACACTGCACACAGAGGTCTCACATAATAACAATTCACGTAGCATTTTACACTCTAAAGGCTCTTAGTTGGCGTCAGTCTTACCGCTTCTAATGTAATATGTTTTATACAAGTTGCATGTGTACATGTAACAATGCACATGTACCAGTTCACTGTTTCTGATACCCGTACTCTGGAATGATTACATTGTTTCTCCAAGGATATAAAAATGTGCTTGGTTGGTCTTAAGCGTTCGTTTTAGACCGGCTAAGGAGAATGGATGCGACTAATTGCGGCTCAGGCATTATCAGCCAGCTAAGACTAACATTTAAGACTGGCCAAGCACAAATTTCTTTCCATTCATAAATTTTTACCTTTTTTCAGTCAGAGAGTCAAAAGAAGTCAATGTACTATAGATTTCCATTGATTTGTTCTAGATTTTCCTGAACAGCACCGTCCATTTTATGGTGTATTCTTTGTGCAAGTTTTTCAGGAGAATCTCTATATGGGTAATTCAGCAGGCATTATCAAACCTCAGCAGGCATTATCAAACCTCAGCAGGCATTATCAAACCTCAGCAGGCATTATCAAACCTCAGCAGGCATTATCAAACCTCAGTAGGCATTATCAAACCTCAGCAGGCATTATCAAATGTTAAGACACGGTTATGTTGGATGTTATTGAATAGGGAAACTGTCTTGAGGTATTTTGGAATGTGATTATTGTCATTCATTTCTGGTAATGACACCAAAGATTCCTCAAAAGCGCCTTAGGCGTTACAGCTCGAAGAAACCTATAGAGAGGAGACAATGAGAAGCAGTTACTGGTTTTAGAGGTGAGAGGAAAACCCCAAAGGAATATTCTGGGTAAAACCCATGGAATCGGGTACGGACTGAAACCCAATCCACATGTGGATTCGAACCTGGTCTGCACGGGTGGAAGGCAAGGAAAGAACCCCAACGCCAATCTAACTTCCCTGCATATGAGTTCATGATTCACTTTCTTTCTTTCTCATAGGCTCAACTGTTTCAAAGTCATCCAATTCTCCATCAAAGGCTGCTTCTAAAAAGAAAGTCCTGACTCCATCTCCTAAGCAGAAAGTCACCACAGTGTCCGATTTTTTTGGCTCCAGTCCAATTCAGAGGTCAACCAAGAAAGTGACTGCCAAGAAACCAGAAGTACTTGCTGAAGTGTTTTTTATAGTTTGTCTCAAGCAATTTCCTTGTGGCAGCCCTGTTTTGTCATGCTCCCTAAAATGGCTTTAAAAAGGGACGATGACATTTGACAAGATCATATTATAATAGGGGAACCAAACTAAGTTTGAAACTTTCATATCTTGCTAAAATCCGTCTGTGTCGTTTTGCTTTAGGTTGAGGATTTACTGTTGTTACCTGCATGCATCTGAATTGACCAGTCATTCACAGCTGTAGAATTGAGCAACTCTTGTGGTTGGACATCCGGGAACCTCAGTACATTATTGAATAGCACAAAGGTTAAAATTGCCCCTTTGCTGCATGTTAAAAGTCTGTAGTGACATCACGCTGATCACGAGAATCCTTTTGGTTCGCTGTTAGCTGGAAATTGAGATCACCCCAAAGAAGCCAAGGCTGGCCGTGGAGCATCATGATGACCCAGACTTTCAAAAAACATTAGAGCTACTAGATGAAGATCACACAACACCAACCAAGGTGAGTTGTTGAAAGAGTCACTTAAAAGTAATGTGAGAGGTTTGGGGCAGCTAAGATGCCGTGCCCATATTGTACAATCTAGACATCTTGATTGGAGTCTCTTTGTATCAGTGTCTTTGTACTTGTAGTCGTGAAGTTTATATCCCTCAACCTCATGATGAATTGTGTTCATGTTTTCAAACATCTTATGAAACTGGTATTAATCAAGATGCATATTTGGGACGGGAAAAATGTCAGCAGTTTAGACCATTTAATAAGGGAGATCGTATGATCACTTAGAGCTGCATTTACAGAATCGCAGGACTGATGACCTCAAGTCAGCAGAGAAGCCCTCCCCTTCAAGGAGAAGTCCGAGGATCTATAAGATGGATGTCAGTCCAGCTTTAAAAAAAGGTTTGTGAACCTTCAAAAATTTGCACCCATCAGCCCAATGTCATCTCACTACATAATTTCTCATTGTTTAAATGTACCCTGAATCTAACAGCCAGTGTACAATTCTTTTCATGAATTCATAGGTAAAGGCATTGCCAGTAAGATAGCTGAGAAGGTGAAATCTAATAGCAAAACCCTGGTGGAAGAGACCCCAGAGAGAGGTCAAGGTGAAAGGTCACACTCAAGGTCAAAGGTCACAGTGGAGGAAACACCACAGAGGTCTAACAGGAGAGGAGCTCAGACACCAGTTAGTCAATTTCAATCAGTAACTTCCGATAGATGTCTTTTTTATCATAATTCTCAAATCGAAAAGAAGTGTGTTGAGTTGATGGTTATTGAATCCGTCGCTGTGTTTAATACACCTATAAAATAATGATGACACCCTTTGTTTACATGTGTGCTTTCCTGTGGAAGTGAGGTGGGATGCGATCCATCAAGTGCCCATAGGAATACTCACAAGTAACAAAGCAATTATGCCATTGTATTTCAGGTTTGTTGACAGATTAACAAACTTAAGCTCTTCATTTGTTTCAACAAAATTTGATATTTTCATACTTTAGGATGCCACATCCTCCAAAGCTGCACCTGCTAAGCACACACCCACTAAAGCCACGCCCACTAAAGCCACAACCTCTAAAGTCACACCAACTAAAGCTACACCCTCAAGATCGACACCCTCAAAAGGCATAAGCTCTGCCAAATCTACTCCATCGAAAACAACTCCCACAAAGGCCCCAAGTCCCAAGGAGAAAATGGGCGGAGACTCGGCTGAAAAGAAGAAAGGAGGTGGGGCCAATTACAGGAGATATCTTAGTCGAGATGGACCACGATCACTGGGTGCCAAAGAGATGCCACAAGTAAGTCTGATATTTTCCAATTGAATTTCAGCGCCTTCTGTGTATCAGCTGTAGGTGAAAAACAAGACAAGGGCATCCATAATGAATTCTGTGCTTCTCAATTCAGACTGACTCATATTTTTGGCTCAGACTTAAAAAAAACCAAAGCAAACCCAAACCCACAAAGAAGGAAACAAGAACTTCTGGGGACAAGCAAATATTTATTTTTAACCTCCTTTTTGCCCCGACAGACTTACCCTCACTCAAGGTAAAAAAAACATCAGAACCATAGAATTACGTACGGATGCCCCAAACTGTAAAACCAAGTTTTCTCTGAAAGAAATGATCTTAATCCAGGTTACAGAGGGTATTAAGGTACATGCTAGATGCACTGTTCCAAAAAGTCTCTAACTTGAAAGATAATGGACGAAGTTTGTGTGCTTGAAATTGGCATTTACATTTCTAGGGTGAGGAAAATTGTTTGGCAGGCCTAGCATTTGTCATCACTGGTGTGCTGGATTATGTGGAGAAGGAAGAAGCCAAGCAAACTATTGAACATCTTGGTGGCAAGGTTACAACAGGAGTCACGAAGAAGACATCCTATCTAGTGACCGGACGTGATCCTGGTCCAGTTAAGATACAAAAGGTTGGTTTGTTGTTTACCCGGTGGGCTGTTTATTTGGCTTATGAAAAGTTGCAGTGATGTGGAACCCTCATATCACATGAAGATAAGCTCTCAGCTGCGGCCTTATTTTGAAAAGGTGCCTGTTGAGATTATTTGGCGATCGTCTTTCTGGTTTGATAAAATGCACAGGCTGAAGCGCAAGGTACAAAAATCCTAACTGAAGATGAGCTATTTGACCTCATCAGGACGCGACCAGGAAAGAAGCCATCAGTCAGTAAGGTGAGTTGAGAACATTGTTGCTTGGAACAGTGATTAACCTTTAAAGTTGATTTTTATTTTGGTGGAAAAAGGTGAGCATTCCTGGTTATTATGATGTGCGTTTACTGTTGTCTTTCCAAACATGAGGTGAGCCAACCAAAAGCTGAACCTGTCTCCACGAAGCAGTCTGCTCAGACAAAGCCCAAAGTAAGCCCCAAAATGGACACTACACCAAGCCAGTCTCTGTCAACGTCATCATCGCCAGCAATGGATTCCAAACCCACCGTAGAGACTGAAAAACTAGGCGAAAGCCTGTTGTGGGTTGACAAGTACAAACCTCAGAATATGAAACAGCTGATTGGTCAACAAGGAGAGCGAAGCTGTGCCAACAAGCTCCTGAAGTGGCTGAAGCGATGGCATGACAACAATTTTGGACCCAACAAAGACAGAGGTAAAGACCCTAGAATGTGATGATAATTGATCAAATAACTCTAGGATTTGCTCACTGTATTCCATCCTCACTTTACATCGAGTGGCTGTCAGAGAAATCTTTGCTTAGGTAAATTACCTTTATCTATTTTCCAGATCTGTCAAACATCAACAGAAATGATTGATGTCAACTTGGATTGTTATCACAGTGCTAATGCTCCCGAAATAGAGGGTTATCAGTTTAGGTGTTACATGAAGCTCTGTGTCTTAGCATGACAAACAGAGATGTAGGTCACTGGGTGCATCACAGAGAAATATCATTGTGAAAATGTGGCCCTGAAAGAGGCAGAGGTGAGACACAGGTCCTGAGGTGTCAAACAGTGCGTTCTGTTTTTAGGAGACTCCTGAAGACAACTTGCCTCTCCCTTTCCTGAGTTTACCCTGTCAGTTATTCAAGCTGGGCACTGCTTTTTCGTATCTCTTGTTGAAAGCTCGCTTCAGCAAAGACGATGGATTTTGTTTCAAGGCAGCGTTACTTTCAGGACCTCCAGGCATTGGGAAAACCACCACAGCAGAACTTGTTTGTAAGGTCAGTGAATTGTTAGTGTGTTGACTCCAATTTCTCATCCCTGAATAAGGTGGATAATTACTTCCTGCTGCTTTGTCAATTGTAGGATACATAATTGCCATTATGTCTCACCTCTGCCTCTATCTAAATAGGAGCTGGGGTTCAAGACATTAGAACTCAACGCCAGCTCATCCAGAAGCAAGAAAACATTGGACCTCGTCATGAAAGAATTCCTACACACAGACTCCATCGAAGGCTACTTCAAGGCCGGAGGAGGTGAGAGCAAAGGGCAAGAGGTCGAAGTTCACCGGCAGTGCTTGCTGATGGATGAGGTGGATGGAATGTCTGGGAACGAGGATAGGGGTGGAATTCAGGTAAGCTGTTGCTACAAGATGAGTATTGTCTCATCCATCCGTTCAATTGTTTTCCAGTAAGAAAAAATACTTGAGTTTGTACTTTGTTGGTTACTTAATTCTTTGAAAATAGTTGCACCCTGAGCTTCCAGGGAAGTTGCAGGTTTGAGTTGTGCATTCTGATTGCCCATGCACATTGTTCTGTCAACTGATACTCTCTCTCTCTCTCTCTCTCTCTGTAGGAGTTCATCCAGATGATCAAGAAGTCACATATACCTGTGATCTGTATGTGTAACGACCGCAACCATCCCAAGATCAGATCGCTAGCCAATCACTGCTTTGATCTTCGTTTCTATCGGCCTCAAGTTAAGCAGATCAAGGTAAACACTGTGAATGAACTTGATTTTATTTCACATTCTTTTTGACTGTTTTATCCTCTTCATTGAAAAACTTGCAGTCTGTGAAGATTTTGTGGATCATCTTGAAAAGAAACTGTGGAGTTATTAATTGGCTGATCAGTAATTTGTGATCAGTGGTACCAAGACTTGTTCACATGAGCAGCCACTTTGAAATTTTACTGTGTTTTTGTACTAGTCATCAGCTAATAGTGACTTCCTGTACTTATTTGATTGAAGTGCAATAGCTCCCTCTACAGTTGAGCACAGAGAGGATGGAAGATTTCGGGGATTCCAAGGTGTTAAACTTCAGTGTAGTCAATAAACTATGCACCACCTGCTTGCACACAAATTTGTGCCAATGAGCGTTGAATGTACATGCATGTGTATCGTATAACTAACATATTTGGATATTGTCATTCAGGGTGCCATGTTGTCTATTGCCTTCAAAGAGGGCGTGTCCATCCCGCCCCAAGCTATGGACCACATCATAACTGCATCTAATCAAGACATACGGCAGGTAGGCCATTTTAACATGTGGGCTTATTATTGTCTTGGCAGTTCACAGCAAGGCTATCATGCCTGCTGTCATCAGTTTCTGTCAGTATTAAAACAACATCTGAAGATGAGATGATTTCTTTAATTAACCCCTTAACCACTTTGTGCCGGGGCATTTTTCAACGTTGAGGATGCTGGGCCGGCATGACTATCATTTTTTCCGTTTTCAAAATCCTTCAACAATTCATCATTCCATTT